TGGCGTAAGTTTTCGTGTTTTTCCCGCCGTGGTCGTTGAGTGTAAGTAGCGATATCTCGGCGACGAAAACTCGGATTTGAGTGGTTAAAAGCACCAATCAAAGCCAAGATAACGCGCCGTCGATCTGTCCAATCAGCGTAGGCAGCAATGCAGTTTTAGAAAAATTCCGCCAATAAAACGGTAAAGTGGACAGTCATTACGGACCAGAGTAGTATACCATCTTCTAACTACTTGGCGTACAACCTAACGTAGGCAACTTGGTGGTCATACTATTCTTGCTGAACAACCGGACGACTGCAGCAAGAGAACCCGCGTGGACACTACAGCAAGGTTGGAGAGTATCGATGCGACTGGCTACCGTGGGCGACGACCTCGCTCAAACGCCGGGAACCTATCCTCTTAGACCCATCCCCTTCGTTTCGTATTTTTTTCGGATCAGCATTTGACAATACACCCATGAATAGACAGGACACCAGCTGTTTCGTCTCTTAGGTGTGGCTCGCCATTCCGCATATTGAGCTTCCATGACACGCAGTCCACAGCAGTAGGAACGACACGCCGCCGCGGCAGCAGCGCTGCGCAAAAGTATCGCCTAGCGTACAAGGGGCGAATGACGGCTCCGAAGGTGATGGCAGCGAGGAGGACGAGGATTATGTCTACCCAGCGACCAAGGACGACGTCGACGACACGGAGATCGAGAAAGACGACGATAACAACGATGAAGACGACGCTCCACCACCTAAGAGAGCGAAGAGAGCTACACCGCGCATCAACATGCGCAATGTGGTGGTTCACGGCTTCGACCCGAGCCGAAACATTACGATTGAGATGTAGCCCCGGGTGGTTGGACGCGGGCTATGGCGGAGCCGCCCTCCAACAGAACTTGCTGGAGCAGCACTCCCGGGCAGCCATTGATACTATTGACGATATCCGGGTCGCCATGAGCCACATGGTCAAGACCAAGGAACAGTCATGGATCACCTACGCGCAAAGCCTGGAAGCCGCCGCAAAAGGGCACAATGTCGGCGCAAAGTACCTGATCACGTGTTTGCCCGCGGACTGCCCATGCAATACGCGTGGGCGTGTCGCAATCGGGACCCCATCAATGTCAGCCAAGCCGGCATCATCATGCAACAGCTTTTCCTCACGGATGGTATCGGGGTTGGCGGCCCTGACCGCCGCTCCATCAAGACGTTAACAACAGTGACCATGCCCTATGACTCCGCGGACACCGCTCCAACCGTGTCAACGACACCTGCGGAGGATGTTGCCCACAAGGCGCTGCGCACTATCATCGATAGTGTGGAACTAATGGCACAACACATACCGGAACGCGGAGGACGCGGTACCGCACTTGTTGGCACTTGCGCCGCAAGTGCCTCGAGCTACCCT